CTTCTATTGTTGTGACTTAGATGATGTTCAGAGCACATTTATGCCCAATTCATGCAAAACTCCACATAATCCCAAGGGGTTCACATACTTTTTCTTGCAACTGTATATCTCAAAATATCTCTATGGGTATAATAAATCAAACAGTGTTCTTATATATACAAATTCTAATATAGATGAATTCGTAAATTGCATATAAAAATTCCTGGAATGCATATAAAAATTAATAATATGTAAGAAATAATCCATAATAATAAAAAACTGTTTTACAAGTTAGTGTGGGACCTCCATTTAGCAAAAAGCTACACTCATGGACAGGTAATTTCTCTTTTTATATATACTCTATGCTATTTTTCCGATTGTGATATTTCAAGAATATTTGTGACAACTAGATAGACGCCTTACTTTCCTCCAACAGGCATGGTTCATGGTAATAACTGAGATCATACTCAGGCTTATGAGTACAACAGACATTGGGGCAGCACAGTGGCTAAGTGGTTAGCACTTCTGCCTGGCAGTACTTGGGTCCTTGGTTCAAATCCCAACCACGGCACCACCTGCCTGGAGTTTGCATTTTCTCACTGTGCGGGCTTCCTCCAGGTACTCCAGCTTCCTCCCACACTCCATAGAGGTTAATTGTCCCTAGTATGTGTATGTATGAATGTGAGTTAGGGACCTTAGATTGTACACCCCTTGAGGGTTAGGGACCGATGTGAATGTATATGTAATATAATATATTAGAATTTGTATGTATAAAACACTGTTTGTTTTATTATACCCATAGATATATATATATCTTTTTTTCAGGTACTTATATAGCGCCATCAATTTATGCAGTGCTTTACATATATATTGTACATTCACATCAGTCCCTAACCCTCAAGGGGCGTACAATCTAAGGTCCCTAACTCACATTCATACATACACATACTAGGGACAATTTAGACAGGAGCCAATTCACCTACCAGCATGTCTTTGGCAAATGGGAGGAAACCGGAGTGCCTGGATTAAACCCACGCAGGCACAGGGAGAACATGCAAACTCCAGCCAGGTGGTGCTGTGGTTGGGATTCGAACCCTAGTATTGTACTATATACAGTGAAGGAAATGCGTATTTGCTCCCCTGATGATGTTGAATGTTTGCCCCCTCACATAGAAATGATCAGTCTAAAAATTGAATATTCAGTGTATTGTAAAACTTAGTGACAGAATAGCAACAAAAAAATCAGCAGAAATGCATGTCTAACAAATGATGACTGATTTGCATGTTCATAAGGGAAAACATGACTTAGAACTTGGTGGCAAATCCTTTGTTGGCAATCACAGAGGTCAGACATTTCCTGGAGTTGGCCCCCAGGTTTGCACACATCTCAGGAGCGATTTTGGCCCACTCCTCTTGGCAGATCCTCTCCAAGTCATTAAGGTTTGGTGGCTGATGTTTGGCAACTCGAACTTTCAGCTCCCTCCACAGATTTTCAATCGGATTAAGGTCTGGAGACTGGCTAGGCCACTCCAGGACCTTAATGTGCTGCTTCTTGAGCCACTCCTTTGTTGCCTTGGCCGTGTGTTTTGGGTCATTGTCATGCTGGAACACCCTACCACGACCCAAACATGGTGGTGGAAACATTCTGCTTTGGGGGTGTTTTTCTGCTAAGGGGACAGGACAACTGCACAGCATCAAAGGGACGATGGACGGGGCAATGTACCATCAAATTTTGGGTGAGAACCTTCTTCCCTCACCCAGGGCATTGAAAATGGGTCATGGATGGGTGTTCCAGCATGACAATGACCCAAAACACACGGCCAAGGCAACAAAGGAGTGGCTCAAGAAGAAGCACATTAAGGTCTGGAGGGGCCTAGCCAGTCTCCAGACCTTAATCCGATTGAAAATCTGTGGAGGGAGCTGAAAGTTCAAGTTGCCAAACGTCAGCCACCAAACCTTAATGACTTGGAGAGGATCTGCCAAGAGGAGTGGGCCAAAAATCCCTCCTGAGATGTGTGCAAACCTGGGGGCCAACTACAGGAAACATCTGATCTCTGTGATTGCCATCAAGGGATTTGCCACCAAGTACTAAGTCATGTTTTGGGAAGGGGATCAAATACTTATTTCCCTCATGAACATACAAATCAGTCATCATTTGTTAGACGCATTTCTGCTGAATTTGTTGTTGCTATTCTGTCTCTCAGTGTTACAATACACCGAACATTCGATTTTTAGACTGATCATTTCTTTGTTTTTTTTAATTTTTAAAAATAGATCTCTAAATGGCTACAAAATCTTCTACCACAAAAAGTATTCAAATAATGAAAGGTGATGACTCCATTTTTATTCTTCTCCTGCTACCAATGGCCAACCCGGTCCCACACTTCATCCATGTCTTTGGGGACCTCTGATCTCCTTATGAACTGTTTCTTCCATGATGAAGATCAGCCATGGAGTATATCTGAGGTGTATATCAGGGTGTGCTTCTTCCCCACATGAGAGCTGGGATGTCCAGCAACATTCATCTAGAAGACATTTCCCACACTCAAGGCACTAATACACCTCCAGGGTTGTGTGGAATCCCTGATGTACAGGAAGACAGGACTTCAGTGAGGAACATTTCCCTCACTCAGGACAGGAAAGTGACTTCTCCCCCGTGTGCAATCTCTGATGTGTGTAAAGGTTGGATTTGTCTGAAAAACATTTCCCGCACTCAGGACAAGAATACGGCTTCTCCCCCGTGTGAGATCTCTGATGTTTGTAAAGATTCGACTTCTGTGAAAAACATTTTCCACACTCAGTACAAAAATATGGCTTCTCCCCCGTGTGAGATCTCTGATGTGCAACAAGTGCCGATTTATCTGCAAAGCATTTCCTGCACTCAGTACAGGAATGTGGCTTCTCACCTGCGTGCAATCTCTGATGTTTGTAAAGATTGGACTTCTTTGAAAAACATTTCCCGCACTCAGGACAGGAAATTGGCTTCTCCCCTGTGTGAGATCTTTTATGCACAGTAAGATGGGATTTAAAACGGAAACCCTTCCCGCACTCAGTACAGGAGAACCTCTTCCCTGTTGGAAGGCCGGCCACGGTCCCGCACAGTCTGAGGTTCCTCAGGATACGAGGAATCCGATGGTCCATCTACACTGGGTGGTGCCGGATGGACATTGGAGGGAGCCGGGTTTTCTCCTGGAATATACTGTGTGATGTCCTCATCTTCTACTTTCCAGTCTAGAGACAAAGTGAGACAATCCTCGGAGGTTTTCCTCATCTCCCGGCCATGGACTAAAATACAAAGACAAAGAGGATTACTAGACAGGAGCTGATTGGTTCCTCCAAACCAGGACTCCGCCCACATCAGGCAGCTTGGTCTCTGAGGAGCTTACAACTCCACCCTCAAGGGAACTAGGAAATGGCTCCTCTGATCTCCTACCAGGTCATTTCTTTATTCATAGACCTTAGTCAGAGAGTGAGGAAACAACCAGAACTGTCTTTTATAGGAGGGACAGTGATGAGGGAATTATAGGACGAGGGTCCCCACCCCCTCTATCACTCATCACCATCTTCCCAACACAAGAAGTACTGCACTTCCTTATTTAATCCATGATTTAGTCATGAAGAACAGCGGGGCTGAGCCCCACCAGAGGTCAGAGAGTGAGGATGGGGGGAGAACAACCAAGATGAAGACTGGACTGATCCTGAAGACCACCATCATTGGGGTATTGACTCCTCCTTCATTATCATGCTGCAGAAGATCCAAAGACTCATGACCCAGGTGCTTAGGTCCAGCAAGGCCCATTGCTAAAGTCAAATTTTGCTGCCAGCTGAACCCCAGAATCTCCATAAATCCAGTCTAGATACATAAATTGTGTCTGCAGCACAGAGAAGGAAGATTATCCGAGAGAAATCCAGGAATACAGGACGGGGAACACAGCTCAGGAAAGTGACCAGGGGATTACAGGCTGATATCACCCAGTCCCCGCCCTACTCTGGACCAATCAGTGAGCAGTATGGGGTGGAGGAATGGATTTAGTGTTCATGACCCACCTGTGCTGATCTCTGTAGGAGTGTCCTCCTCTATAAATGTCCCCGTTATTCCATCCTCCTCCATAGACTGCTGATCATCCCTCACATACGCCTCTTCTTCTTTCTTAAACTCAACTTTTATATCTATCAGATCTTCACCCTAAACCAAGAGAAGCAACAATAACATCTGCAAAATGTAAACTTTAATATAGTGGCATCAGATCATAAAAAAACACACATTGTCTCCACAAGTCCATGCATTCGATCAACGGTCACTAGTCCTCCCACTGTCACCAAAGATAGGGCATTTTCTACTCCCACTAGTCCTAGTCTGGTCCTGCTAAAGTCTGAAGGATAGTAAACTGAGCCTTTTTTATAAAATTTGGAGACTCCTGTTCTAGATGACCTGCCCAACAAACCTTGTAACAGTGGGGGATGGTGTGATCTTCCTGTGTGGAATCCGGGAATACAGAGGACAGGGACATCTCTCTGGTGGGTTCCTGGTATTAGGTGGCTCCATCATATCCTTGTGTCCTTCTGAAAAACTCCTCCATCACTCCATACTCCTCATCCTCCTCTTTATACTCTTCTTTAACATCAATATTATCATCCCCGAGGATTCCACTCTGAAAGATATAATAAAACATTCATTGTAACAAACATGCTGTGTATAAATCACAACCAATAATTGTCATCATCTACCTGATGATGGTGAGGGATGGTGTGACCTTCCTGTGTGGAATCCCAGGAATACAGAGGACGGGGACATCTCTCTGGTGGGTTCCTGGTATTAGGTGGCTCCATCATATCCTTGTGTCCTACTGCAAACTCCTCCATCACCCCATCCTCCTCCTCCTTTTTTATCTCTTCTTTAACCTCAACTTTAGAATCTCTCAGGTTTCCACTCTGAATATATAATAAAAATGACATCAATGGTAACAATGCAGATAATGTACAGATCCTAATGATACTATCAGTGATTGTTCCTCATCTACCTGATGATGGTGAGGGATGGTGTGACCTTCCTGTGTGGAATCCCGGGAATACAGAGGACGGGGACATCTCTCTGGTGGGTTCCCATGACTGGATCCATCTACCTGATGATGGTGAGGGATGGTGTGACCTTCCTGTGTGGAATCCTGGGAATACAGAGGGACGGGGACATCTCTCTGGTGGGTTCCCATGACTGGATCCATCTGTAGGAAACACACACACTGACTGAATCCATTGTTTCTATGTGTTTATCAGATGATGGGGGATCTAGGTGGATCCTCCGTACTGCTCTCTCCTTTACAATAAAGTCTCCTCTTACCCGGTGATGTGAGGGGCGGCTGATTGTCCATCATGACGTCCTTGTAGAGATCCTTGTGTCCTTCTAAATACTCCCACTCCTCCATGGAGAAATAGACAGTGACACCCTGACACCTTATAGGAACCTGACACACACAATGATACAGTCACCATCCAGACACATCCCTTGTCTGTTACTGGAGAATGTCCCAGAATTCCCGGCACCGCACACCTCTCCTGTCAGCAGCTCAGTGATCTCTCTGGTGACTTCTAGAATCTTCTTCTTCTTTCTCTCTTCTATCAGGGAGGGAGGTGGAGGCAATGTGATGTCATATGATCTCCAGACTTCACAGGAGGAAAACTCTACATCTGAACACAAATAGTGAAATCAAATGATTTTCCCAGAATCCTCCTCACCTCTCTGGTCAGGTCTGTGTAGATTAAAACCTTGTTGCAGCTATTTTGGCATTGTTAGATGCATTGCAGAACCAACAGTCCTGCTTTGCACATGAGAATGCCAAGGGTCATCCTAGGAGCATGACAAAAAAGAAAATAGAGTTGAATGGAGGGAGGCCCAAAATGCAAGATCAACATTTCTGCTCTGGTTGTGAGGATGCAAAGGGTCCGACCACATCCTAGAAGCAGCAGAAAAGAGAGCTGGATGGAGGGACATTGGGAGGAGGAGCTGTGAGGTCGGTGTGATGTCATAGGATTCTCTGACTCTGGATGGAGGGACATTGGGAGGAGGAGCTGTGAGGTCGGTGTGATGTTATAGGATTCTCAGACTGGATAGAGGGACATTGGGAGGAGGAGCTGTGAGGTCGGTGTGATGTCATAGGAATCTCTCTGACTCTGGATGGTGGAACATTGGGGGGAGGAGCTGTGAGGTCAGTGTGATGTCATAGGATTCTCAGACTGGATGAAGGGACATTGGGAGGAGGAGCTGTGAGGTCGGTGTGATGTCATAGGATTCTCTGACTCTGGATGGAGGGACATTGGGAGGAGGAGCTGTGAGGTCAGTGTGATGTCATAGGATTCTCAGACTGGATGGAGGGACATTGGGAGGAGGAGCTGGAGGTCAGTGTGATGTCATAGGATTCTCTGACTCTGGATGGAGGGACATTGGGAGGAGGAGCTGTGAGGTCAGTGTGATGTGTCATAGGATTCTCTGACTCTGGATGGAGGGACATTGGGAGGAGGAGCTGTGAGGTCGGGTGTGATGTCATAGGATTCTCTGACTCTGGATGGAGGGACATTGGGAGGAGGAGCTGTGAGGTCGGTGTGATGTCATAGGATTCTCTGACTCTGGATGGAGGGACATTGGGGGGAGGAGATGTGAGGTCGGGTGTGATGTCATAGGAATCTCTGACTCTGGATGGAGGAACATTGGGAGGAGGAGCTGTGAGGTCAGTGTGATGTCATAGGATCTCTGACTCCAGATGGAGGGACATTGGGAGGAGGAGCAGTGGGAGGTGGGACATTGGGAGGAGGAGCTCTGTAAGGTTTCTGTACACAGAATAATTTCTCCAAGGTGCGTCCCACCTCTTCTAAACTGAAAGTTGAAATTTGTCTTTGGGCTTTGTCAGGGCACATCATATTCTTGTGATCTCCGTGTTCTCCGGAGACTTTACTGATCATATGGAATCACTGAGATCATTATGGAGAAATTATTTTACTGCAAATTACATTTTTCCCTCTTTCTTCCTATTTGGAATCTTTAAAATAAAGACATACAGTTGCAAGAAAAGGTATGTGAACCCCTTGGGATTACGTGGAGTTTTGCATGAATTGGGCATAAAATGTGCTCTGAACGTCATCTAAGTCACAACAATAGAAGAACACAGTCTGCTGAACATAATACTACACAAACATTAGATGTTGCCATGGTTTAATTGCACATAACATGTAAACATTCACAGCGCAGGGAGGAAAAAGTATGTGAACCTTTGGACTTAATAACTGGTTGACCCTCCTTTGGCAGCAATAACCTCAACCAAACGTTTCCTGTAGTTGCAGATCAGACCTGCACAACGATCTGGAGTCATTTTGAGTCAATGACCACTCCTCTTCACAAAACTGTTACAGTGTAGCAATATTTTGGGATGTCTGGTGTGAATCGCTCTCTTAAGGTCATGCCACAGCATTTCAATCGGGTTGAGGTCAGGACTCTGACTGGGCCACTCCAGAAGGCGTATTCTGTGCTGTTGCAGCCATTGTTTTGTTGAATTACTTGTATGCTTTGGGTCATTGTCCCGTTGCATCACCCATCCTCTGCGGAGCTTCAGTTTGGCGGACAGATGGTCGTACGTTTTCCTGCAAAATGTCTTGATAAACTCTGGAATTCATTTTCCCATCAATGACAACAATCCGTCCAGGCCCTGAGGCAGCAAAGCAGCCCCAAACCATGATGCTCCCTCCGCCATGTTTCACAGTGGGGATGAGGTTTTGATGTTGGGATGCTGTGCCTTTTTTTCTCCACACATCGTGTTGTGTGTTCTTCCCAAACAACTCAATCTTGGTTTCATCTGTCCACAGTATATTTTGCCAGTAGTGCTGTGGAACATCCAGGTGCTCTTTTGCAAACTTCAAACGTGCTGCAATATTCTTTTTGGACAGCAATGGCTTCCTCCGTGGTGTCCTCCCATGTACTCCATTCTTGTTTAAAATGTTTTCCTTATTGTAGATGTGTCAACAAAAATGTTAGCATGTGCCAGAGATTTCTGTAGATCTTTAGCTGACACTCTGGGATTCTTCTTTACCTCATGCAGCATTCTGCGCTGTGCTCTTGCAGTCATTTTCACAGGGACGACCACGCCTAGGGAGAGTAGCAACAGTGCTAAACTTTCTCCATTTGTAGACAGTCTGTCTTACCGTGGACACATGAACATCAAGGCTTTTGGAGATACTTTTGTAACCCTTTCCAGCTTCATGCAAGTCAACAATTCTTGATCGTAGGTCTTCTGAGAGCTCTTTTCTGCGAGGCATGGTTCACATCAGACAGTGCTTCTTGAAACCAGTAAACCCAAAACAGGTGTGCGTTTTTTAAGGGCAGGACAGCTGTCAGCAACACATCCAATATCATCACACTGATTGGAGTCAAGGTTGGCTCACTCCTGGCTCCAATTAGCTCTGGGAGAAGTCATTAAGCTAGGGCCTCACATACTTTTTCTCCCTGCACTGTGAATGTTTACATGTTATGTGCAATTAGACCATGGCAACATCTAATGTTTGTGTAGTATTATGTTCAGCAGACTGTATTCTTCTATTGCTGTGACTTAGATGACGTTCAGAGCACATTTTATGCCCAATTCATGCAAAACTCCACGTAATCCCAAGGGGTTCACATACTTTTTCTTGCAACTGTACATATTCCAATCCCCCGCCACTAATAAAAGTAATATAATCCGTTAATATAGATCAGGGGTCTGCAAACTTTTTAAACAAAAGGCCAGTTTACTGTCCTTCAGACATTAGAGGGGCCACAATTTGGCCATCGGGAGTAGAAAATGTCCCAGCATCAGTTGGAGTAAACAATGCCCCATCCTTGGTGTCATTGGGAGGAATTATGCCCCATCATTGGTGTCATTGGGCCCCACTGTTGGTGTCTTTGGTAGGAATAGTGCCCCATCATTGGTAGGAATAGCGCCCCATCATTGGTGTCATTGGTAGGAATAGTGCCCCATCATTGGTAGGAATAGCACCTCATCATTGGTCTCATTGGTAGGAATAGTGTCCCATTACTGGTGTGATTGGGAGGAATTGTGCCCCATCATTGATGCTATTGGAAGGAATTGTGACCTATTATTGGTAGGAATTGTGCCCCATCATAACAGTCATTGGGCCCCATTGTTGGTGTCACGGGGAGGAACTGTGCTCCATCATTGAAATCATTGGGAGGAACTGTGCCCCATCATTAGTGTCATTGGCAGGAACTGTGCTCCATCATTAGTGTCATTGGCAGCAACTGAGCCCCATTGTTTGTCATTGGCAGGAACTGTGCCCCATCATTAGTGTCATTGGCAGCAACTGAGCCCCATTGTTGGTGTCATTGGAAGGAACTGAGCCCCATTGTTTGTGTCATTGGCAGGAACTGTGCCCCATTTTTGGTGTCATTGGCAGGAACTGTGCCCCATTGTTGGTGTCATTGGTCATGTGGCATTGTTGGTGTCATTGGCAGGAACTGAGCCATTATTTGTGTCATTGGCAGGAACTGTGCCCCATTGTTGGTGTCATTTGCAGGAACTGAGCCCCATTGTTGGTTCATTGGCAGGAACTGTGCCCCATTGTTGGTTCATTGGCAGGAACTGTGCCCCATTTTTGGTGTCATTGGCAGGAATTGAGCCCCATTGTTGGTGTCATTGGCAGGAACTGAGCCCCATTTTTGGTGTCATTGGCAGGAACTGTGCACAATTGTTGGTGAATGACATAGTGCCCTAAGGGCCGGATAAAGGCAAGCAAAGGGCCACAACCGGCCCCCTAGGCTGCAGTTTGGAGACAATTTGGTATAGAGTGATAAGGTGAGAAGGTGATTGGTGGGAAAGGTGACCCATCTCCACAATGAGGAGAATGTTCCGGCCCCGGAAGTGGGGGAATGTTCTGCCCCTGAAGGGGTTAATCTGAGTTCCCACACTATATATGTGTGTATCATCATCTGCTGGAGATAAAAGACGTCACAGTGACTATGGAGGAAGAGGACGGACATGACTATGGGGGAAGAGGACGGACGTGACTATGGAGGAAGAGGAGGACATGACTATGGAGGAAGAGGACGGATGTGACTATGGAGGAAGAGGACGGACGTGACTATGGAGGAAGAGGACAGACTGGACGTGACTATGGAGGAAGAGGATGGACGTGACTATGGGGGAAGAGGATGGACATGATTGTGGAGGAAGAGGACGGACAT